CACAGTGCAAAAGGAACCGCTGGACATTCCGCAATGCAGATTCGGACGCCAGCTTGTCCGTTCGGTCGACCAGTAGGACACCACTGTTTGCCAAATGCGACAATACATCGATAGCAACAACACGAGCTCGAAGTTGCCTCTTCTCGCGGAGAAACTTCTGGACGGACGATATGACATTGATCGTTCGTGGGATGCGTGTTAATTTGGCGGTAGTGTTGGTCGGTGTAGAAGCAACAACGATAGATTTTGAATCAATGTAGTCCTTCCATACACTCTGTACTTGTGGTTTACCACGACCAAGCATCACTGAGATTTGTTTTGAGACGTCGCCAGTTGTGTGGTTAGCTGCATGTTCGAGCCGTAGATACGCGTGCAGACGCAGTATATCCAGTCTTTCATCCCTCGACAAGACGCGGCTTCGATTTGCCTGCACAAAGCTGCATATCTCATCGAATGCCACGGTGTCGATGGTACTGCGGGTAGATGTCATGCTGTCGACCGAAACGAACTTGAAATACATGGAATCAGTAAAATCAATGGACAGTGCACCATTATATAATAGAGGTGACGGAAATTTTAAAACCTCTACCATATTATATTGGATTTCGACGTTCAAAATAGAATTAATTATTATAGGTTATTTGAAATTGGGGTGAAATTTCGACAAGAAATTTCTTTTAAAGTTACATATATGACAGGATATGTTGTTTCAAAGTATTTCAATGCTAGAGTTTAATGCCAACTTTTTTATACGCATGTTTTGGGGTAAAATACTGCAAAATCCGGTATTTTTTTAGTGAATGCCAGCTTAAGCTCCCTCGGTGCTGTCGTGGACTGTTAACGATTGAACGTTTTATATAAAGCAAGGTTGCACTTGCTCTAAAACGAAGCATATTGAGCGGTCTGTCATTGGGTGAAATAAAGCGTCGTTGTTTTACGCAACACCACGAATCATCATAACAAAAATGTCGTTGGTGGTCAGTGACGTCGCGAGGCTGCCTCTGCCCGATGTGTTTCACTGCAGCGTATCAGTGAAGGTTGGCCGGGCACTAGGCAAGAGCAGGACATCAGTGGGCGAGGCAGTCCTGTTTTCAATGCGACCAATTGATACGTTCAATATAATGACTGCGACAGTCTTTGACATCGTCGACAACATGGTTGCAACCCAACATTCTTATGTGTATACAAAGGTTGCGATAAACGCCCCACAAAGCAAGTATGTTCGACTATCCGTGGACAACTTCAACGACACCATCGCAAGAATTTGGGGCAACGCTGGCAAAACACGCCTTGGACATTGCATTTGTTTTGCAGCTTTTCGTTTACATCGGTACCTGATTATAGATGAACGTTTGACCTTGTTCCTATACTGCTTGATTGATTGATTATTTATGTGGATAGAAAAAAACGTCGAAATTGGCATTCGTCGTGCAACACAGCAGAACATACAATCGTCTGCCGTTCGTGTAGCCGAGCATGTTCGCCAGCATGGCGTGAGCCTTGGATCATTACAAAGTCAATACGCAAGTATTTGCACGGCCCGACTCCCTACAAGCGCTCCCGTCGAAATACCGGCAAATGCTACGATGGAGCAGCTTGGCCACATCGACCAAATGACGCAGCACCACATAGAGCAGCGCGAAAACGTCATCAGGGGGGAAGCTGAAGCTTACCGCTGCGTGCGCATTCGGATTGGATCGCTGGCCAGCGCGCCACTTGACTGTTTTTTTGCGTCAGTGACCTCAGAAACATTCTCGGCCTACCACCGTACCCCTTGATGCCTGCATTTCGTGAGCCTCTAGTAGGTACACGTGCATCTCGTGTTAATATTGACGATGTTGACCATGCTAATGAGGAATATATGTAATCCTTAAACTACTTTGTTAATTTATCAATTAATAGAATAACGTAAAATTGTAGACGATGTTGACCATGCTAATGAAAAATATATGTAATCCTTAAACTACTTTGTTAATTTATCAATTAATAGAATAACGTAAAATTGTAGTTGTATTTCTAAAATCTACATCTCAGACATTTGAAAAGTGCCTTTGTCGAGGTCGTCCGTGTTGTACCCGCAATATCGATAGAGGTTGTACCCAACGTCGTCGCGCTGGTTAGTGCACTCAACAAAGGCAACGTCCGAGGTCGCACGAATATCAAAGCGAAACGCCATGGGGTATTTGTTGATCCACCGTTTGAGAAGACTAAATCCGACTTCGATCGGATTTAGTTGTGGGGAGTATGGGGGCAAAAACAACAACAACGCTCCCGTCGATAGCACCGCGTTTTGGAGCTCCTTGTACATATGGATCTTAGCATTATCCAAGATCAGGATAGATCGAGGCAACGGCCACGGGTTTAAGTACGAAAGTATACGATCCGTCATAACC